ATTAGTGAGTGACAATAGCATTACGCATCGATACTCTTCTTTCAGCAATAATTACGATGCAATTTTATATGGTTTGATTGGGATGGATCTCGTATATTCGTATAACACAAGCATTCAGTAGTTCATCAATTGCACTGTGCTTCAAAGAATCGTTCAGAGGACAGCATTTGTTCATGGAACATTTTTAGCATACGATAAAAAATGGTCATCGTATGAACAAACTAAATATTTGCAATTCTTACATTTCCATTGGGCACATTTGTCTGCAGATTAATGATGCTTAAACACTGAACATAAACCTGGGTGACATTCTGAGAATAAATTACTGATAAAAACGTCTATGAGCATCACTATATTACATCACAGATTTTGCAACGCTCAACTGTGATTGTTTCGTGTTGCATTCTTCAAAGACATGTCTTTCATTTCAGAGCTTGGAATCTGGTTTTTTGTTTCTTTTTGAATGATACTTGAACAGTTTGCTACTGATAAAGTGCAGCATTTCTTCAAACTGTTTATTCATAAAAGGTAACCATATTGAAAAAGGAAAAGCTATTAACATTGACTAATTTAAAGTACTCACCAATAGTGGACAACTCTCGTTAGTCTCATGGACGTTGTTGAAATTCTAGATGAGAAGTTTGAACGATTGTTTCAGTTGAACGCGGTGACTTCAAGATGCAGTGATTTTCCTTTGAAGGGATAGATAAAGAAAGTGGTGGTGGTGGCTTATGAAACGAAACAAGTGGATGGCAGAAGAGATGCGGGCGGACGCATCCAAGTGGATTTGGATGCTGCCAGGCGGCGGGGCGGAAGCACACAAGCAGACATACATCACGGGGCTGAATGACGAGGCGTAAACGGGGCTCACAACAAGACAAGAGAATAGCTTAAAGAATGGATGAATGGATTGAGATTGCCGGCAGTTTATCTTGATGAATAATGAATGAAGCATATGGGAAATTGCTTATTTCTTGTCTGATTATGTTCAACTTAAATTGCGTTCTTGCTCTGTTGCAAGGGTATAGACTACTCATTCAATCATTTTATTGACTTATTGCTAAAACTCAGTTAACTTAACTTCTATACGATAAACTTTTCAGCACTTCCAACTAATTTGCCGTCTGTAAATAGATGACTGAAACTGATTCCATCTGATCTAAATTCATCAGTGCAACTAGCGATGAATCAATCCATATTCAATCAGTCTAATTTCTTACTTGGTACATTTGCGTTTATCTCTAAAAACGATCATTTTGCTTTGGCTATTTCAAAACCCCTCTCTACCCTATAGTCAGCTAAGAAGTTCGAAAATTATCCAAAATTGTTTTGTAAACGAAAAATCTGCAACACGTCTATTTGTCAACAAAAGTTTTGTTCAAAGCGGTAGCCTGTCATTCTTTGTCTAACTAATTATACCAATGATGAAAAAATTGGATAAGTACGATTTTTGGGAGAAAATGTTCAGCTTTAAAAGTTTCATGAAATTATTTTGGTAGTGGTCTCGTTGATATGTCACTTGATGTTAGACGGTAAATTCTTCAAAGCGATTCGCTCAATATTAGGTAAATTTGTTGCATCGATCGAACGAACTACTGAATCGTGCCACTTTTACACACGTCAAATTCATTGTCAATCGTTATTTCAGTCGAAGTTCGTGCTTTTTTGTTTTCCTCTTGAGATTAATTTTGATCAGCAGTGGTCTGGCCATAACGCAGTCGGTGTTCGTTACGATGGCATGGATATGGTGGGGCATTATATTGAAATTGGCATGCCAGATGCAAATTGCTATGCAATCATATATGATAATGGATAAAATATGACATCGATGAATTCTGCACTGGCTTACTTCCAAATAAACGTTATACTCCTATTCGGATGCTGCATAAACTCTAATTATT